CCCCAAAGACTCAACAAATCAAGGCCCCTTCCAAGGCAATTTTGCCAGCACAATAGATTTAATTTGATGGTAACTGTTCTGAGAATATATTAACTTATTGAGTGGCAGCATTCTGCCTAGACTTGCCACAAGTCAACCTCGAACGAAATGCATGCAGCGAGCGTGAGCCGACGTTTCGTTCGAGGTTGAGTTGTGGCAAGCTAGTCTACATTCTGCCCTTGAGTAAAATTGTCTGGCACCAGACGGAGTAATATACTAAATTAGGGCACATTGCCACTATAAAGGGTTAAACAAATTAAAAAATGTTTGCAATAGTCTATATTCAAAAAACTCTTTTTGTAAATTTTAATTGACTTTTATATACCTACTTATACTAGTCTTATAGCTACCTTTCCCCAGTCACTTCAAATGAATTCTACAGGAGAAGGGGGACATTGAAAATCCCTGAATTTACTTGGTAAAAGCAAGAATTGAACCATGCATTACATGTATATGGAGAGCAGTTTTCAATATATATTTTATCATGCATATTCCTTGATAATTGTTCTGAAACTTCTTTGGCTTAGAATCGGTACACCCCCCAAAGGTGTTTATTTACAGGGTCCAAAGGTGTAAATATACACTGTCGAAAGTGTTAATATAAACAACAAAACAATGTATATAATTAAATTTTATTGAATAAAATGTGGAATATTTTACAAATTGCAATTACCATCCCAAAGTGTACAATTATCAATATAATTAGGACTTAGAAGCTGTTCACATGAGTTTGACTCTGACCCACCACCGTTGGCTAGCTCTCAGTTGCCCGATCACAAGTAGAAAACCTCCAACCCCCTCTGACAAATCAGTCCAGATCTGCCCAAGAGGCAGAATTTTCTGGAATATTATTAGCAGTGAAATTGTTGCATATTTTCAAGCATGCATTGTAACCTGATTTTAAAGCCTGTTTGAGCATCAAACATTGTGGCAATGACAAGATGATCCAGTCATATGAATACAATCTTAAAATATCATAAAAACAATGCATTTTAAGGCCAGACAGCCCAACTCCTGTGAACAGCCCTTTATTACACATTCAAAGCATCTCTTGAGGCATCAAAGTGCAAGCATGCACATGGAGTTACATACGAGTATGTGACATAAGCCCACCATTGCACAACTTTGTCTGCAACAATGCAAATATAATCAAGCTGGAAATGGATTTTATCAGTATTTTGATATATATATATATATATATATATATATATATATATATATATATATATATATATATATATATATATTAATCTTCTCTCGCAGTTTAAAACAAACAGTATTACTAACCCTCGACAAATTGTGTATAAATCTTATCGAATTTAACCATTTTGCCACAGATTTTGCCAAAAATATTTCTTAGACGGACAAAGTAATATTATGGACACTCCTTGCGTGAAAATGTTAATTTATCCCGAAGTTTGAATAAATTAATCCAAGATTGCATTATTTGCATAATAATGTACCTGTCATTGACCAATCAGAATACATAGAAGACCGGCCGGTGCCAGGGCCTTTGCACCGTACTCATAAATGGAAGCTTATTTTTTCCTATACAATATGCATTCCAGAGGACCATGCTGTCTCGAACAGCCAAGGGAAACGCAAAATAATTCAAGATAGCAAGAATTTGACCCAGTAAAAATGCTTAAAAAAGTATGAGTAACTTTGAGATAGCGAGGAGTTTGAGATAAGCGCGAGTTTGAGGTAGCGATCGGTTCTACTGTTTTAATTGACGTCCTAGTCTTTGTATTTTCCAAGCACCTTTGTTGCTCATTAAATAAGGTTACTTTACAAAAATGCTTAAAGAGGCAGTCTAGTCCAGAACAAACCGGAACAATGTTAGATATTAACTAAGCACAGCATATTTTGTAAATATAATATAGCTGTTCAGAATGTAAACAAACCACACATCCAGCTTGTTTGTCTCATGGACTTGACTGCCGCCTCTTTATTAATAACATGTAGATAGTTTGTTTACTAACAAAAATTTCAAACTATATACAAATAAATTTAACAAATGTGCTGTGCCCTTCAAGGCTTCAGCCTCAAACTATGTGCCTCTGTCAAAGCTTGATTTTTTAGTCTTATATTGTCCCTTTTTAATATCAGTACCTCTTTGTGGTGTTGCAGCACTTCGGCTTGTAATTTTAGGACATCTTCATTAGTTATTCTCCTCTGTTTTTCTTTTCTTCTTGGTGGAGGGAGGACAGGGGTAGAGGTAGCTGGCACAGGTAAAGCATTAGGAACAAATATTTCGTCCTGAATGAATGAGGGTGGTATTGGACGCTGTTCTACCGTTACACGATCATAATTATCCTCATCATCCTCCTCGTCTTCTTGTTCATGAAAGATATCGTCGCCAAGTGGGGGCATGTTGAATCCTTCAAAGGAATGTCTATCCTGTAAGTCTGAAAATAAAGAAAGATAATACATGTACTTTTAGTTCGTAAAATATGCTTTAAAAACTGCAAGGGTATCTATAAAATACACAGTTTTGGCAACGTTTTTGCAGTTAAATTTATATTTACACAGAAGTATACTTATCTTAGTTTTGTGCCAACATAATAAATCCTGAACTTGGCGACATATTTTGTGGTATTGTATTTATAATCAAAGTGTGCAGCAATTCAAAAATTAATCTACTGTATATATTTGTTGAACTCATCTTTTCTTTGCAATATGGCCGTTCTCGTTTTGTAAATTAATTAAGTCGAATAAATATCAAAACGAGCGGGTGCTCTGGTAACTAGTGTGCGGTCATTTGTGTAGACTTGCCCAAACTTGTACCTTAAATTAACGTAAAAAATGCATTTTACTTCGTACCTGTCTCAAAGCCGTCTAGTCCGGTAAAAAGAGGAGTATCTTCAAATATTTTCATTATTATTTCTTCCACCGCCGTGGGCTCTTTAGGCGGAGGACCACCTCCAGTTTTCCGTACCTGCCTATTCACGTCGGCAAACATTTTCTTCGCGGAGCTCGTCAAGCTTTCCCATTTTTCTTTTATTTCGCTTGCCGTGCGGTATGCCACTCCTATCGCGTTTATTTCTTTAGTTATGTCGTCCCACATTTTGTTCTTTCTTTGATTTGTTGTTGCATTTGTTAATTTTGACTGCAAAACATCTAAAATTTCATGCACTTTGCTGCATGGTCAACGTGTCTATTTTCGTCACAGTAAAGTTTAGTTTCCTTTTTTCCCTTTGTTTCTCTCCCGAAACGTCCGCCATTTTGTAAGACTTTTAAAATTCGCGCGCTTTTTAACCTAAGGTTAAATGTCTTAACCCAGGGTTAGTTAACCGGACCTCTAACCCAGCTTTGAACAACGCAGTTTTAACTCAGGGTTAACTAACCCTGGGTTAAGGATTTTAACCCAGGGTTAGCGCTAACCCTGGGTTAAAGTTAACTGGCTTTTGAACAACCGGCCCCAGAGGGAAATCTCTGAATTAAAAATTTTTGTGTTGCTATTTTAAACGCATGCTAATTATCAATTAACCAATGAAATATTTTCATTTGTCCTGTATTATTCAACTAAAGCACTGTCCAATCAGAGGCCTTTCCACAAATCTGTGGAAAATCCACGTGACCAGAACAAGGAATATCCAATTCACAGACGTTCTCTCGCCGCGCATCGTCGAGAGTCACAGGCTATTCTATGAAAGCTCATGGACTTTTCTCTACCCCGCTAGTAACTCCAGACGAAGGGACTTCGCTCGAAACGTCGAAATTCTCCTTATATTTTCCAGGTAGTTGCATCGCTGCCAACGAAAGCTTGTTCATATTATTGGCAGCTACCGCCGTATTTAGCAGTTACTAGAAAATACATGCATGCAAAACCCTCGCCTCTGAATTCCAAACATGAAGTGTTGTCAAAATGATCAATTTCCCAAACATATATATGCTAGGTATGTTATTGTACGTAATATAAGCGTTGATTTAATGTAAAATTCAATCAAAAACGATTCGCAAAACGTTTTATTTATTTTATTTTATTTATTTTACAAGTTTGCCATTGCAATAGATCTATATAGAGTACTATGGTTATAAATGACTGGAATTTCCACACAGAGATAGTTCTCCAATAACGGGGTTCCAAAAAAGAACAACTTTTTGTATATCTAATTATTTTAAAATTAAAGCAAACATAGCAATTAAACACAAATACAAGAAGACAAAGCAAACGTATTGACGAACAAACGAACAAAAACTAAATTTAGCAACATGTTCGAGTTGATAAGTTCATTAGTGGGCAAGTGGTGTGACATTTAATACAAACAGACTTACTGTCCATGCAATGGAAGTGTTGATAAAATATTGCATGAATTCATTTCCTCAAGTTGATCAATTCATACGAATTCAAATTTCTTTTTACTTCCTGTGCGTTTCCTACTGGTCAATCGGTTCTGAAACGAAATCGAATTGGCTTATTTAAAAGTAACAGGAAGTTGATCAATTTTCTATCAAATGAATTGATCAACTTGAGGAAGGAATTGGTGCAATATTTTATCAACACTTCCATTGCATCGACAGTAAATGTTCTTGGATCTTCAGGATCATAAATTTGTTGGGTTAATTCTACGTAATATTTCATTACATTACATTTAAATGCAGTTAGAGATGTGGTGGTATTTCTTATGAAGCTGAGAAGCGTGTTCCACACATTAACAGCTCTGATGTAAAAGCTATTTTAAAAAGAAACAGTTTTACTTTTGGTTACATGAAGTCGGATGCCGTTGGTTGAACTAGTATTCCTTGTTTCTTGTGAAGGGATCTTTATAGATATGTTACTGTCAGAGTCATTTATAAGGCATTTGTGAAGATACACCATATCTAAATACTCATGCCAGTAACATAGAGGGAGGATTCCGAAGGTAGCCAATCGTTTCTTATACGAGATAGATGTTTTGTACGGGAGCAAAAGAATAAATTTTGATGCACGTCGCTGCAACCGTTCGATCGTTAGGATGTTGTTGACAGTTTGGGGTGCCCACACTTGACTACTGTAAGCTAGCTGGCTTCGAACGATAGTCAAGTACTGTATCTTTCGAACTCTTTTATAATGAATGCCGGACGCTGTTCTCTTGATAAAACCCAGTATTTTGTTAGCTTTTGAGGATAAGTCCTGCACGTGCTGGTTCCACTTCATATCTTTGGTGATACTTACGCCAAGATCTTTTACACAGGTTAATGGTTTGACTGGGATGTCAACTAATGTGTACTGGTTGATAGTAGGTTGGAGACAACGAGTAAATTGAAGTAGCCCACACTTGGATTTATTTAAATCCATCCTCCAGTCTTGACACCAGTAGGTAATATTGTTAAGATCTGATTGTAGGATTTCTCTGTCTTGAAGATTACGAACAGCGCGATGACATTTAGTATCATCAGCAAATATTGACACGGCAGTACCTTGGGAGATGCTATCGGGAAGATCGTTTACGTAGATTAGAAAGAGGATTTGTCCAAGAATTGATCCTTGGGGAACGCCGGATAGTACTGGGAGCGGCTGAGATGTTACACCATGTACAGTGACTCTTTGAAAACGCCCAGAAAGATAATTTTTGAACCAACGAAGAAGATTACCTTTGATGCCAAAGTTATGGAGTTTCACAAGTAAAAGGTCATGACTTACTTTGTCAAATGCTTTCGCGAAGTCGAGGTAAATTGTGTCAACTTGGAATCTTTTTTGAAGCATTTTATGAATTTTGTGAAGAACATGTAAAAGTTGGGAAGTAGTAGACTTGCCTCTTTGGAAACCATACTGTAACTCATTCAGTTTGCTGGAGATATGATCTTTAACTCTATTGTAGATGCACCGTTCAAATACCTTCGAAACTAACGATAGGAGTGAAATTGGTCTATAATTGGAAACTTCATGAAGTGGACTTTTCTTTGGGATTGGACAAACATTAGACAACTTCCATTCTGACGGAAGTTGACCAGACGATAAACTTTTGTTGAAAAGTTCACATAATGACGGAGCTATACTAGACGCGCAGTTTTTTAGTAATACAGCTGGGATTTTGTCAGAACCAGTTGCTTTCTCTTCGTCCAGATTTCGAAGTACAATACGAACTTCCCCTTCGGTTAGAGTAAGATCTGAGATGGTGGTTAGATCGATCATGTCATCTTCAAAATCAACAGAGGAGAGTTGGCTGTGAGTATGGTCTGGAGTTTGAAACACCGAGTAGAAGTAGCGATTTAGCATATATCAGCAATATCAACTGGGTTGTCAGCAGTCGAAGACGTTGAATCTTTATTGTACCATGACATTTTCGCAGGGATGTTGGAGCGATTTGAGGTGGATTTAAAATAGTGACCAGAACTTTTTACTACTGGACTTTAACAAAGATGGAAGTTGTTGAAAATACTCCGTACGTTTAGCTTGTATTAACCTTTTGGCTGATCTTCGAAGTTCGCGGAACTTTTCCCTAAGTCTAGGAGATGCCTCGCGTTTAGCTTGTTTTCTGCACTTATCTTTCTTCGAGAGAATGCGTTTAACTTCACCGTCAATCCAGGGAGGTGAGTTGTTCCTTTTGAACGATTTTAATGGAATGAATTCATTAACAACTCTGAGAAAGAGACCTTTCCATCGTTCCCAATCGGTGTTGACGTCAGTTGACTGGTTAGAAGGAAAAGTAGTGTGATTGACTAGTGCATTTCTTAGACCGTCCCAATCAGCAAGTTTGAAATTGAATACAGTTCTCTTGTCATGCCCTGATATTTTTAAATGAAGCATAAAATCGAAGAACATCAGACGATGGTCACTTGAAAGGTTCAAAGATTTTGCTGAAACGCATGATACACTACCAATGTTTTCTGAAGTGTTTGTTAGGATAAGGTCTAAGATATTGTTTAGTCTAGTGGGATATATATTCACTTGGTGCAAAAAAAGTCGAATGTAAGTTCTCTAAACTCTGATGAACCAACCGAAGGGGTCCTTTCTGATATATTCGGTGGAAGAGAGGAATTCCAAGTTAATTCTGGGAAATTAAAGTCACCATGCAGTGATAAGTACTTTATCGTAGTGGGAAGTATCATTCAGAAATGCTTTGAATAATTCAAGCCATTCATTTAAGTTACAATTCGGTGGTCGATAACAAACGGAAACAAGAGATTTTTTGGTGTTCATGATCAGTCTAACTCAAGAGCAATAATTTCTAAACGATCTGACCAGTTTGGATTATTTTTACTTGCGCTTAGTCTATTATATGTAATATTTTCATGTAGAGCTATAAGCACCCCGCCACCGTTTTTGTCAGCCACTCGATCGTTTCTTATTATGTTATAACCTTTTGAAAGTAATTCATTGATCGAGAAGTTGCTGTTAAGCCATTTCAGTTATACGAGAATCAAATCAAGATTATCTGCGTAAACCAGATCTTGGAAAGACTTCATGTTATCAATTAAAGTCCCATCAGGTAATTTTGTGGTACTTCGAATACTCTGGGCATTGAAGGAAAGACACTGAAGGATATGATCATTACCAGGACCTGGTTGGTAGCAATCTCACCAGATAATAAGATCCACAGGAGGAGGTGCGTGTTGTTATTGATTTGGAATAGAAGGCCATAACGGTAGTTGCTGGACAATGAACACTTCCTTAAAATATTATCAGGTGTTGTTATCCAAATATAGCTTAATCTGTTTGATATTGATGAAAGTTCCGACGGGATATTGAAAGTATGCGGCGTTGATGAGGGGATCTCAGAATTTACTACTGGTTTAGAGCTAGAACATATAGTCAAAAGGTTACAGAAAGAAACAGGAGGCAACTGGAGATTAAGTTGGGCAAACGTCGGCGGGTTATTAAATTCATTGCATATCACCCTTAAATTTTATAAGGGAAAACCTCAAAAAGGAAACGATAGCATTAGTCAAGTCAAAGGTCAACTACGAGACAATAAATACATAACGTTGTTGCTATGACGAACGATGCTAGATGAGAAAAATTCAAAAAATTCCAACAGTCAAAATCATAAAAACGTGTATTATTTATATTGTCTTTATCACAAAAACACCAACATTGATACGATAACAGGAACAAAGTACATTATACAGTACAGAAAATTTTAGACGAATCCAATGAACAGGAGGCAAGATAATAGATCAAAGAGAAAATAAATAGATCAAAGAACAAATCCACAAACAGTAGTGACGAATCAGTAACCGCAACACGACAGACAACCACGTCCACGGTAATAAAATTCCAAATAATTATTATTATTATTATTATTATTCTTTTTAATCGATTGATAAATTACATATCAAGTGTTACAAATCAATTTTTTAAAATATATTAACATTTAATAATTTTTAGGTTATATTAAAATTGCAAAGCTAAATTATATAAAAAATACATCTATTGATGAAACTATTTTTAAAACGCTCGGTAGAAATGTTTGGCCACTGTGCCTCTTGTGTTCTAAGTTTAACTGTATATTCTTTAATTTTTGGACAGATTTCTCTTAACGGATGATTGTTTTGTTTACACAGCATTCAAACAGGTTTCTATCTGTCTGCTCTAAAAGTATATTAATATCTATTTGTTCTGATGTATATCTTCTTTTATAACAACGAGTTAAGAAGTTTTGAATAGTTGTTAAAGTTTTAAATAGTTGGTGATGCAGCAATAACTGATAAGCTACAGGTAAGTTGTGACAGGACCAGTGACCTAAAAAGAAGATCTAAAAATGCGTAAATTCACTAGCGAATACCTCAAAATATATACCGCGTAAATAAATGCGTAAATTCACTAGCGAATACCTCAAAATATATACCAACAGAGTCACAAGACCTTTATATTTGATTTGATACCAAATTAGTATCGTTCCAAATGAAATGAGTTAGAAAATGTTTATATAATTTGCGGACACCCTACCTCACAACCTCACACCTATCTATATATCAAAAATGTATATATTTAAAATGTTCTTAAAACTAAAAGCAAACAATACATCAAATTAAAAATAAAATTACCTTCATTAACGCCGGCGACTTTGCTCCATTCTTTTAGACGTTTTCAGACGGTTTTTGGCTCTCAAAAAGGTTTTGAAATTTGCAAAATCTTGCAAAAACCAAGGCAAAAACACAATATATTTGCTGATTTGCAAGAAATGTTTGTTATTTCGCTGTCGTCATTTGTCAAACAACAACAAATTTTAATTTGATCAATCAGTGTTCTTTATTCATGTCAGTCCGCCACATATTTTGAGATCAGTGAGGATGACCACCCACTCAATATCGTTGGTCACGCCCGCGATCATTGATGAACTTTAGACTTCGCTAATGCTTTCGTTTCCCCTGGTGTAAATAGCCGGGCGGAATTAGCACCCTTGCTTCGGGGACTAGTGAGCTTAAGCAAACGACGCTTTTGTAAACACACAGATGTCACCCGAAAATTCGTATAATTTATTTGTATTAATTTTAGCGTCATTTTGCATCATAGCGCTTGTGTAAGGAAGCAAGAAACTTTAAAAATCTTATGTTTTGCCACATGTGGAAGATTACAATTGACTCAAAGACAGTGTTTAATCCAGTCTCCCTTCAACAATTTGGCGTCCGTATTCACAAAAACGTCGCTTGCTAAAGCTCGCATTCTTTCTCTTCCAGTTATAAAACAAAACATTTCAAATGTCCAGGTCAAGTTAACGACGAGGATCAGCTCATGTACAACTCGAGCTCATGGTATAATTATTGATTAAATTAAATATATCGGGTGTTCGTATAACCAGGCTCAGACGGATGTAAAGTTAGCAAGGCTACACGTAAGCTTGTCAAGATCTATGAATTCTATTAAGATTTAGGTTAGTTTAGTACTTAACGAATTCCTACACTTATGAGACGGTTTGGCATCAATCTGTAAAAAATTTCGTTGTAAGCAACAACTTGGTAATCCACGCTGAAAGCAACATCTTGGCAATCCAGAGTTTAGAGAAGACCGTGCCACCGTTTAGATCATGAATTAGGACATCAATATAGTAGGTGTATTATGACGTTCACGAAGGATCGCACGATTGGGTTGGCGCCTATCGATACAGAAGCGAATTTCATCAGGATTCTTCGGTTTTGATGTGACAACGAGAGGGGACACCCAAGGAGTTGGGCCTTCAACCGGTTCGATAATACCCTGGCGTACGAGTTTGTCAAGTTCGATATCGAGCTTTTTGCGAAGGTGGAACGGAATTCTCCGATGAGGTTGCGTCTTATTACAGTAATGTACACAACGATCAATGTCTTCGTATTCGCGTTAGACCGTTTTAGTAACCTCAGCATATACAGTCGTTTACTTGAATTTTTAACGATATTATCCACCTGTAAATTCCATTTTAAGTTAATTATTTTGGACCACGAGACCTAAAATCTTTTCCGATTTGACGAGCTTAATTGGGTTACCAGACACAGTCAGGGGTTCGAAAGATCTTTTATCTTTATCAAAATCGATTACGAGTGGTAAATTGATCGAGCGTTCCCTTTTTGTTGTTGGCGAGCTTGACGAAAGAGGTATATTTGGTAATCAACGTTGCGTTGCGGCGTAAAATGCTTGGTTAGGCGGTCCATCGCTTTCTTGTAGTCCTTCTCAGCACCGGTATCCTTTATGGTTTCGAATATATCAAATGCTGACGAGCCAATATAGTGCGAAAGAAGTGCGCGTTTGCGTGTCTCATCGTCGATATCCATGGCAAGAAGAAAATTTTCAAAACGTTTTTTCCATTTAGTCCAGCGTTGAACGGTCGCGGTGGAGTCGTCTTCAACATTGAACGGAGAAAATGGTGCTAAAGATGAGGCCATAACGCATGTGGAGATATTTTGATCCTCGTCGCCAATGTAGTATTCTCATAGTATGATAATACGAGGCACGCTCTTTGAGTGGTTATCACAATAATAAATTTAATATCCATGGAATACTAGCTATATACAACTAAAGTGACGTCACATAAGTACATGACGTCAGGTTATTATAAAGTATACACATACATATGACTGAACCACATTCGTATTATATATATATATATATATATATATATATATATATATATATATATATATATATATATATATATATATATATATATATATATATATATATATATTAAATCCGTTTTAAATCGGTCTTAAATCCGTCTGACCGTGTAGATCAGTTGGTAGAGAGTCGATCTAGTAATTCGAAGGTCGCGCGTTCAAGACCCAGCCGCGGCAGACTTTATCTTTCTGCTTACGCTAGGTATGGAAATTATATAATACACACTCGAGAACATTTTCACCTTAACATATTACGGAGTGTACAATTACACAATTCAACATAACACTTGCAGAACTAGTATTGTTCGATGCTGAATTAATATAAACGAGTATGTTTATGACATTCAGTATATATTTCATAATTTCCAGTCTTAAATCCGTCTGACCGTGTAGCTTAGTTGGTAGAGCGTCGATCTAGTAATTCGAAGGTCGCGGGTTCAAGACCCAGCCGCGGCAGACTTTATCTTTCTGCTTACGCTGGGTATGGAAATTATATAATACACATGCACTCGAGAACATTTTCACCTTAATATATTACGGAGTGTACAATTACACAACTCAACATAACACTTGCAGAACTAGTATTGTTCG